TTTTCTTTCTTTTTATTATTATTATTTTTTTAATAAATATATTTACTTACCTTTCTACCTCTTCTTAACTTACCTTTTCTTAGAATTATACTCTTAAGCTCACAAAATAGTATAAGTACTTACTCTTGTTTTGAAATTGTGATTGTAAATTTGTAATATGTATTAATATTATTTTTTTAAAAAAAAAACAGATTCTTTAATAAAATTTTTTAAAAATTTATATAACTTTTGAAAATATATATTTCAAAAATTTTTTCTATAATTTTTATTTTAATTTTAATTTTGATTTTTATTTTAATTTCGAATTTTATTTTTAATTTCAACTCCCATTTTTAATTTTGACTTTTATTTTAATTTTGACTTCCATTTTAATTTTGAAATATAAAAATTTTGAAATGGCATTTTGAAGCCAATTTTGAAATATTTATATTTTGAATTTCAGGTTCTAAAATAATTTTGCATGCAAGTATAATTACGCTTTTTTATTGACTATTTATATAAATTATTCTTTACAAAATCACATATATATCATGTAAATAAGCTAAAACACATGATATATGATCATCTCTTGTATATAATTATCGTAATCACAAAATAGAAAATTAGAAATGTAATTATTAAAGTAAACTATATTATTAAACTATCTAATAATTTATTATAAAACTATTATTATTATTATATATTATTATTATTATATATTATTAATTGATAATTAAAAAAAATTATAATAAAAAAAAAAATTAAAATGATAAATCAATACTTTCATCACAATTAAAAAAAGATAAAATTGAAGATTGCTTCTTATTTTTATCTCTTTCACTACACCATTCTCTAAATCTTTTTTATAATATTGATAATTCACTTTTATTAAATCTTTTTCCAACTTCAAGACTTTCTTGATAGCTTATAACTTTTTTTAGTATATTTATTGTTTCTACTATAGTTATTGGAGAAGGTAGTGATGATTTTTCATTTTCATCTATTTCATCATCACTATCACAAAATTCATGAATTACCATTTCAATAATATCTTCATTAGTTAATATATTTTTAGTTTTAACTAGTTAATTAATTAGGTAAATATATTCTTTGATATCTTATATTAATTGTTGATTATCAAGTAGTAAGGAAGCATTATTAATTTCATTTTCTGATTCATGTTTACTTATTTCAAATTCATCTATTTCAAATTCATCCATTTCAAGTTTATCTATTTCAGACATAATTTTAGTAGCTCTCCAGTAATTTTTTATAATGGTATTACTAATATCATTTCAAGCTTCAGCAATAAAATTAATTATTTTTCTCAAGATAAGTTTTTTATATTTAATAAAAAATAAGTTAAATAAAATTAAAAAAAATATAAATTATAATATTGTAATAGAATTTATTTTTTTTTATCACTATTTTTTAGATAGTTAAATTATCTAATAAATAAAAAAAAAATCTTACTCTTGATTCTGATTTTTTTCAAATTGATCAATTAAATAATAGCAATAGATTTTTATATTTTGATTTAAAGTTATAAATAATACCGACATCCATAGGCTGAATATAAGTGGTTATATTTGACAGAAGAAAATGTATAGTAATATTTGAAAGGTTTGAAATTTCTCTTGGTTTTTCTTGTTACCTTCCTTGTGATCTTTTTAGTGACCTTCCTCATGACCTTTCTCATAGTCTTCCTTGTAGTCTTCTTTGTAATTTTTCTCATAGTTCTATACCTGCCACCCAAATTCAAAATCCAAATGCCGAAATCCCAAATGCCGAAATCCCAAATCCCAAATCCCAAAT